TCATCATTCTCCCAGCAGACAAAGGAAGGTGCACAGTGATTTTGAACCAGAAAGACTATCATGAGAAAGTTATGACACTCCTTAGTGACTTAACCACTTATGAACCTCTGAAAAGAGATCCAGGAAGTGGTTACAAGAAGAAGTTAATAGATTGCCTGAAAAATTTGGAACAGGACAAGGCTATTGACCATATTCTGTACCACAGACTGTACCCAGGGGAGGCCACATCTAGTCTGTATGGTTTACCTAAAATCAAATGATTTTGAGCAATGGTTTCTTATGGCTTAAGAAGTTTATGTTGCACTGTATCATGTCAGCCGATACTCAGCATAACTTAAAACTGTTGTGTACTGTTGGTGGTACTCTTGTTCAAAAATGTCTTCTGTATTTGTTTTTCAGAATCTCATATTCCATGCTGGGGTAAACTTAAATTAATGCTGCAGAAGAAGTATCAATATGTGTCTGAAGGGATTTCTAATACAGAAAACCCAACTCCTTTGAACCAGATCTATGCAAACCTCTACATCATAGAGGGAGGAACTGGAGAGGACAATTGTGAACATGAGGTCAGACAGATTGAAAATGCATCTAGAATGCCAGATCGACTAGAAAGAACCATCACTCATGAAGACATCCTTAAACCCCCACCTGGAAGACATGAACCAGTCAGAACAGTGATGACATTGGGGGTGGCTGGCATTGGGAAAACAGTTTTAACACAGAAGTTCACTCTGGACTGGGCTGAAGACAATGCCAACAAGGACATCCACTTCATGTTCCCATTCACCTTCAGAGAGCTGAATGTGCTGAAAGAGAAAAAGTTCAGCTTGATGAAACTTGTTCATCACTTCTTTACTGAAACCAAAGAAATGTGCAACTTTGAAGACTTCCAGCTTGTGTTCATCTTTGATGGCCTGGATGAGTGTCGACTTCCTCTGGACTTCCACAACAATCAGATCTTGACTGATGTTACAGAGTCCACCTCAATGGATGTGCTGCTGACAAACCTCATCAGGGGGAAATTGCTTCCCTCTGCTCGCCTTTGGATAACGACACGACCTGCAGCAGCCAATCAGATCCCTGCTGAGTGTGTTGACATGGTGACAGAGGTCAGAGGTTTCAATGACCCACAGAAAGAGGAGTACTTCAGGAAGAGATTCAAAGACGAGGAACAGGCCAGCAGGATCATCTCCCACATCAAGACATCACGAAGCCTCCACATCATGTGCCGTATCCCAATCTTTTGCTGGATCACTGCTACAGTTCTGGAGGACTTGTTGAAAATCAATAATGTAAGCGAGATGCCAAAGACCTTGACTGAGATGTACATCTACTTCCTGGTGGTTCAAGCAAAAGTGAAGAAGGTCAAGTATGATGGAGGAGCTGAGACAGATCCACATTGGAGTCCAGAGAGCAGGAAGATGATTGAGTCTCTGGGAAAACTGGCTTTTGAGCAGCTGCAGAAAGGAAACTTGATCTTCTATGAATCAGACCTGACAGAGTGTGGTATGGATGTCAAAAAAGCCTCAGTGTACTCAGGAGTACTCACACAATTTTTTCTAGAGGAGATAGGGCTGTACCAGGAGAAATTGTTCTGCTTCATTCATTTGAGTGTTCAGGAGTTTCTGGCTGCTCTCCATGTCCATCTGACTTTCATAAACTCTGGAATCAACCTTTTCAAAAAAAAAAAAAGGTGGTTGTTGGAAATATTTAGCAAATTTCAAAAGGTAAAGCCCTTCTATCTGTGCGCTGTAGATAAGGCCCTGCAGAGTCCAAATGGACACCTGGACTTGTTCCTTCGCTTCCTCTTGGGTCTTTCACTGCAGACCAATCAGAAGTTTTTACAAGGCCTGCTGACACAGACAGGAAGTAGCTCACAGACCAATCAGGAAACAGGCCAGTACATCAAGAATCTGATCAGTGAGAATCTGTCTGCAGAGAAAAGCATCAATCTGTTCCACTGTCTGAATGAACTGAATGATGGTTCTCTAGTGGAAGAGATCCAACATTCTCTGAGTTCAGGAAATCTATCCACAGATAAACTGTCACCTGCTCAGTGGTCAGCTCTGGTCTTCATCTTACTGTCATCAGGAAATGAACTAGATGTGTTTGATCTGAAGAAATATTCTGCTTCAGAGGAGGTTCTTCTGAGGCTTTTGCCAGTGGTCAAAGCCTCCAGCAAAGCAATGTAAGTACACATTTAGGTTTATTTATGACTAAATCAACCGTTTTAAATAGCAATACAATGCAAATTACATGTAATTTGTTTGTGTCTTGAAATGCATTTAGGCTGAGTGGCTGTAATCTGTCCGAGGGAAGCTGTGAAGTTCTACCTTCACTTCTTGGCTCCCAGTGTTGTAGTTTGAGAGAACTGGATTTAAGTAACAACAACTTGAAAGATTCAGGAGTGAAGTTTCTGTCTGTTGGACTGAAAAGTCTAAATTGCAAGCTGGAAACTCTAAGGTTAGAATTTAATTTTTTTAAAATCTAACAATACTTTTTTTTATAATTTTAATTTGTTTTTTTACGCCAGCCGGTCAAAGCAGATGGTCGCTTGCCCTGAGCCTGGTTCTGCTGGGGGTTTCTTCCTTTTAAAATGGAGTTTTTCTTTCCACTGTCTCCACTTTGCTTGCTCAGGATGGGAGACTGCAACGAAGCCAAGATTCAACTTGTCTGCTGGATTCCTTAGATAGAGAACTTTACTAATTGGCTTTTATGTATGTGAATGTTTCTATAAAGTGCCCTGAGACAATTTTGTTTTGATTTGGCGCTATATAAATAAACTAAATTGAAATTGAAATGAATATGCTAAAACACATTTTGTCCCACAAGACACGGCTAATGATGTGCTTGAACTATATATTTTAGATTTAAGCTTTCTGACTGAATGATACACAATATGGATAAAAGTATTTGGCCATGCCTGACCCTTGTATTAACAGAGATTCAGTTGGTTCCTCTTGAACAGCTGTTACACACATATATATCAAATCAAAGCTAGATCCAGCATTGATCGCTATCGCTTATTGGCGCTGACGAGTCGTAGGGCCGCCATCTTGGAGAGGTCGCCCGTTCCGCTCAGTGTAAACTGTTTAGCAGGTGCAATGAAGTATCTGCGTGTTTAATCAGTCAGAGCTGAGAACTAAACTCGTTCTCACAATTTTTTCCGTCTGTAAATCTTAGGCATACAGCCATTAAAGCTGAACACATGGTTCAGTGTTTTTAAATATTCTTGGTGGGGTTAACATTAACACTAATAAAATATTTTTATGACAAGTTTTGCAAAACTCACAGTCACTGATACATTTTTCTACCTACCTACCTACCTACCTACCTACCTACCTACCTACCTACCTACCTGTATATATATATATATGTATATGTATATATATATATATATGTATATATATATATATATATGTATATATATATATATACATATA